AGGAGGAGGAGGAGGAAGAAGACTGCAGGGTTAGAAATACGCGAACAATTCGTGAACTAGAGCCAGGCAGCGACGTGCAGGGTTTTGAACATTGACACAATCTTTGTCTCGTCAGTTATTCTTTCAAATGAAATGTCGACTGGGGTATATTAATCGAGTTCATTTGAGTACTTCATCTTCACTCCCAACTGTTGGTATACCAGTTCCAGGCTTCATGACTATCAGGACAGAGCAAAATATAAAATGAGCTATCTCCGATTTTTACAATGATGCGCCTCTGTTTGCTTCGCCTGCAACAAGGTTAAATAGGTTTTTTTTACATTAATTGCAACACACCTAAACATTTTTTTCTATCAAATTACTTCTCCCTCGGCATTATCTGTAAAGGTAAGGTAGGATGGGCGGGGATCGGTGAGCCGATCCACTTTGGCAGCAATACCTGTTACCCTCAAGGTCATGAGAGCCCCGCGTTGTTTGCAGCCAGTTGGATTTTTGATGCCGATTATGACGCCAAAACCAGGTCTCCCCGGAAACATTAGTAAATCAGTCAAGAGACCTGGTAAGGCCTCATGCTGGATCGATAGACTGGGCGCCCTGACATCTAAATGTAAGCAACAGTCTTCAACGCCAACCGAATACGGGGGGGGGGTGGGGGCCAAGGTGGAGTGAGAGACTTGAATGTTACTACCATACATCGTTGCCATGGCACCCATGTCAAAGTGTGCGCGTTGTCAGCTGACCGCGTTGAACTCCTTTAAAGAGAACGCCCACCATCACCATCAGTAGCGTAGACACGGTGACAACGTGTCTCCACCGTGACAAAATGTTTTAGTCATGTCTGGGCCTGGTCAGTCACCTGCTAATCCATCGCAGCGCGACTGGGGTACCAATTCCTGGTTTGCCCACTAACATCCACTGGAAGCTCATTCTCCGCGCACACTGATTAAGGGCATTCGGACACCGCGTGAGCCTATTCGGCCATATGCGTATACACGTAATCTTTCAGTAAAACAATACAACCCAGATTCCCCCTACACCACCTTGGAGTACATCTGACTTACTCCAAGTTAGAGATTAATTTCTGAAAAATTTTAAACGCTGCACGCAGAGGGCACTGGGGGCCCACTGATGAGCCGAACCACTCGCAACTCTGTCACGCAGCGGCAGAATATCGGAAAAACACGTGTCTGGGCTTTTAGCTAATACCTCTGCCGTCAAGCAGTGTATTTCATGCAACCTGGGTATATACTGCTGCTCGCCTGTTGTCAGTTTATG